TCTTAATTTCCACCGGAGGTAACATATATTAGATGTCGCAGGCGTAGCTGCATTGAGTTTTAATTCGATGTTCTACTATTGGTTTTATAGCATAGTCCACATACTATATAGTACATTTATGAGTATTGAAAAGTATAATTATTTTGCATTGGTAGTTGAATAACCAGTAAGAGTAGCGTATAACAGAACTTCTGTCTATTGGTTCTCTAAAATCTTCATCAATGAAGCCCAATAGAACGACTTATATGCGGTAGAAACCAGCAGCTTTGCTGCGTGCTCCATGGGTTCATCGCCTAGATTTGTAAATCACTTGCACTCATTATTCTTGATTCTGTAAACAAACTTGCTTCTCATCAAGTCATTTTATTTCTCAGGAACAAAGAGTTGTGTGAGACAATTGTGCCTAACGTAGTTTTTTTCTTTTTCATATCATGAAGTTTTAAAAGAAATCTTTTATTTTTAGGAAATGTATTAAGAGTTTCAACTACATTTATAAAATCAAGTGCTCGAATATTTCTTCGAATATTTCAAAACATATCACAAGTACGAGTACTCAGAAATCTGTGCGAGTAAATACCCGTACCAGCGCACTTCTGATATGTATATCTACAGATCCAAAATTCGACGAAATCAAGCATATTTTATCATGTGGAAATCATGTTATAGTTATCTATTATGAAATTGATCCACTTGGTTTTGACGATGCGTTTCAGACTGTTCAAACAAACTAAATCAGTACCTGTTTATTAGACGATTTAGAATATGAGTAATAAAAGTGGGCTTTATTAGTGTTTGTGCAAATTCTGGTGTCAATGCTTTTCAGAGATCGAAACGGGTCGGGTATCGTCGTATCGGGTCGGGTTCGGGTCAGCCACCTAAGACCCGATTCGGTCTCTGATGCTTTTAGTATGCTAACCGTACAGTTTAATACACTTAATACACTAATACACTTTTTCATTTTTGTTTATAATTGGTAGAATTTTCATTAAGAAAAGTATAACTAAAGCAGCGGTTTTAATCATTGGGAATTAAAAATGATTAAAACCGCTGCTTTAGTTATATACTGCACTTTTTGGTAGAACGTGGAAGCGAGTCACAAACAAAACGCACACTTAAAATGTCTTTTTTTGTTACCCGGACGTGCCAAAAGCACGAAAAAAGTGTGCTGTTTCTCCCATATTGAAGACTGAAGGTGGGATTTCTAATAGTACGCTTTGTCTGTGCTATTTGAACAATTTTGCCGTGCTTTTCCATGGCAGTGGGTGAGATTCTATGGAAGGAAAAAACAGTTTAAGTGCCAAGCAACTAAGGCGTGATTTCTGGTATAACTACTCTCTGGTATAACTAACTCAAACAAAATGTATCTCTCCAATCACTCTCACACGTTCCTTGATCGACAACTGGAATGAACATGCGGTATGAAGCGGAGAATTTACCGAAAGACTACCGAATTATTGCTCTTTTTTTATTAATTAGTTTTACTCTTTACAATTGCGAAAAGAGTTACTTTGTATAGTTTTAAATCTTGCATAAATATCGAGCTAGTTGGTGATCAGAAGTATACAAGCAGAATAATAATACATTGTATTTAAACTACAGATTCTTAGTCTTCACTGGAGAGGGAAAGGATTTCTTTTCTTGTTTATCTTCACGCCTTGTATCCGTTCTTTTTCTACGTGTCATCGAGGTCAAAAGAGAAAGTAGCTTTTATCGCAGTTTTTCTCAAGGAAAAAACAGGAATGAAAACGGACAGTTTCATTCCAGTTCTGTTGTAAACTGAACAAGTAAAATAACTGAAATTATATCATTTGCTTTTGTTTATATTCTCTATTATTCTTAGTAATCATCGTGTTCTTATACGTTTCTCTCATTTCATTCCATCAGAGCTTTCTGAATTTTGTACGCTGTCTATAGTGCAGCTGTCTATTGTTTATCTTATCTGTTTAGTTGCTATAAATGCTTATCCGTTTTTTTGTAGATGCGTGGCTCACTTATCCTGGAAGATGGTTCCATGTATGCTGGCACTGTTTTTGGTGCCGCAAAAAATTTATGCGGTGAAGTTGGTGAGAAATAGGTGTAGACTATTTTTCACAAATGTTGCATTTCATTTTTTTTCCTATCTAGTTTTTCAAACTGGTATGGTTGGTTATACCGAATCACTGTCAGATCCATCCTATTCCGGTCAAATACTTGTGTTAACTTATCCATTAATTGGAAATTATGGTGTTCCTGATGAAAAGGTTTGTGATGAATTTGATATACCACGTTGGGTTGAGTCAAATAAAATTCATGCAGCAGGATTAATTGTTAGCGCTTATGCGGAAAACTACAGTCATTGGAATGCATTTGAATCATTATCATCATGGCTTAAACGACATAATATTCCAGCTTTATATGGTACATATTGAATTAACTAATTAGGAACGACAAAGATTATATTTTATTTGCAAATAAATTTTATTTCTTGTACAGGTATCGATACAAGAATGTTAACAAAAAAATTACGTGAATGTGGAACAATGCTTGGAAAAGTAAAATGTTTACCTTTTTAAAATTTCTGCTATGATCGACTGAACAAATTTTACCATAATCTTTAGATTGCTCTCGATGGTTATGATCCAGAACAAATCTCATTCTATGATCCAGCTAAAGTTAATCTTTTAACAAGCGTATCGATACCGGTTGGTCATCAATTTGAATCATTATTAATTAATATTTATATTATTTGATTTTTATGTAGAAACCTCGTGTGTATAATCCATCTGGCAGTCCCTCGATAGCATGTATTGATTGTGGTATGAAAAATAATCAGTTACGTATACTATGTACATTAGGCGCAAAAGTTACCGTTGTACCATGGAATTATCGAGTTAAACAAGAAGGTTAGAAGAGAAAGTATTTTATATATTTTAAAAACTATTCTACTTTTATATTACGATAGACTTTGATGGATTATTTATTTCTAATGGTCCCGGTGATCCACAAATGTGTGAGGAGCCCATTCAAACAATAAAATCATGGATTAGTGAAGATAATACTGTGATCAAACCAGTATTTGGTATTTGTCTTGGCCATCAATTAATGGCAATTGCTATTGGATTGAAAACATATAAAATGAAATATGGTAATCGTGGACAAAATTTGCCTTGTTTACTTGTTGGGACGAATCGTTGTTTTATTACATCTCAGAATCATGGTTATGCTGTTGAAACATCAAATGGTATGCCAGATAAATGGAATGTATTATTTGAGAACAAAAACGATCAATCAAACGAGGGCATCATTCATAGTAATAAACCGTTCTTCAGTGTCCAATTTCATCCAGAACATTGTGCGGGACCCAAAGATACGGAACACATGTTTAATATATTTGTTGATACTGTAAAACGGTATAAACAAAAAATAAATGATAATTTTGTATTGAAGACATATTTAATTGATACTCTAAGTTGTTTTGTTGATTCCAATGCTCCAAAAGCATATTGTGCTCGTGCAAAAAAAGTATTAATATTAGGAAGTGGCGGCTTGAGTATTGGACAGGCGGGCGAATTCGATTATTCTGGCTCACAGGCAATAAAAGCATTAAAAGAAGAAAACATTCATACAATATTGATAAATCCAAATATAGCAACTATACAAACATCAAAAGGTTTAGCGAATAAAGTATATTTTTTACCTATAATATCCTTTTATGTTGAACAAGTTATTAAAAATGAGCGACCAGATGGAATATTATTAAGTTTTGGAGGGCAAACAGCTCTCAATACCGGTATTGAATTACATGAAACCAATATATTAAAGAAATATGGATGTAACGTACTCGGGTAAGGATATTTTTATTACAGAATTTATTTTATACGAATATATCTTGCTTGGGTATTGTCATTTTCCATTAGGGCTGTTTTTTATTTCAAGAATTAGTCTGTGTATGTGATAACGGATGAATGGTGCTATTGTTCAGGAGCAATAAGCTTGGGATTAACACCTAAAGTAAAATTTATGGATGCATTTTGGAAAAGCCTGTTTTCCAAAACCAGACTTGTCTATGAAACGTTTATTCTCAAGCCGTCGCATGTAGAAAGTTTTAGCTTGTTTCAAATTCAAAAAGAACAATGACATAGGTCCGTCAGAAAAGTTCGGTGTTTTCACATTTTTCTCGCAAATATTTCTTCTAAAAATCTGAAACATACATCGAAAGATGCAGAATTTTACGGAGAACTTTGCGACATTTAAAATTTCAGCAGAACCATTATTAAAAAATTTTCATCATTTTTTCGTTTTCTGATCGTCGCAGTTGGACTATTGAGTAGGCGTTAATCTTTCATAATTTGCAACGACAAGAAAATTTTATTTGAAAAACAAAATCGGCAGCTTTGTAGAGCAATAAATTCTCTATCGAATGAGCTAAAACTCTTTTTAGTGCCTCAAAAACAGAAAACAAAAGTGGCCGGTTTAATCTTGCCCACCTGTTAGTTTGATAAAGATTAATTTAAGATAGCCAAAATCGTTTTTGCTGTGCATGTGTCTTGAGATCTTCATATGTCACATCACCAAATATTTTCTTTTGTTTGGTTTTAGTACTCCGGTTGAATCTATACAAATAACAGAAGATCGATCATTATTTGCTCAAAAAATGTCAGATATTGGTGAAAAAGTAGCACCATGTGAAGCAGCTGCTACGCTTGAACAGGTATTCAAAACCAATATTTGAAGCATTTCTTATCTTCACATTTGCCTGTGTATTCTTTTAGGCCTTGGAGTCAGCCGAACGTATTGGTTATCCTGTTTTGGTTCGGTATGAAAGGACTTGTCTAACGATTTCATATTTTATTTTATATTTCTTTCAGAGCTGCATTTGCTCTCGGTGGTCTTGGTTCTGGTTTTGCTCATAATGTCGAAGAGCTCATTCCTTTGGTGTCGTCTGCATTTGCACACACATCTCAGTTACTTATTGATAAATCACTCAAAGGTTGGAAAGAAGTTGAATATGAAGTGGTCCGTGATCAGTTTGACAATTGCATTGTTGTTTGCAACATGGAGAACATCGATCCGCTGGGCATTCATACAGGTACATGCCTATAGTGATTAAGCGTATTAATAGTATTATGTACTGTGCTAAATTTTAAGGTGAATCGATGGTTGTTGCTCCAAGTCAAACATTGACAAATGAAGAGTATAATTTGTTACGTACTGTCTCCATCAAAGTTGTAAGACATTTGGGTATTGTTGGCGAATGTAATGTACAATATGCGCTTGATCCATTGAGTAAGGATTATTATATCATTGAAGTTAATGCTCGTTTGTCTCGTAGTTCAGCGTTAGCATCAAAAGCCACAGTAAGAAATGATCGTGGTTGTTTAACAATAAATAACTTAATTTTATAATTAGGGTTATCCATTGGCTTATATAGCAGCAAAATTGGCATTAGGAATGAGTCTAGTTGATCTGAAGAATACTGTGACCGGATGTACGTGTGCTTGTTTTGAACCGAGTCTCGATTATTGTGTTATTAAAATACCAAGATGGGATCTAAATAAATTTGTGCGTTGTTCAAACAAAATTGGTAGTTCAATGAAAAGTGTTGGAGAAATAATGGCTATTGGGCGAACATTCGAAGAAACGTTTCAAAAAGCTCTCAGAATGGTTGATGAAAATGTGATGGGTTTCGATCCATACCAACGAGCAATTAAGGACGAGGTATGAACATTGCCGTGAAAAGATATGAACTGACGATTATGAAGCTCATTGAGTTCAATGAGATATGTCAGATTTTTAAGATTGAGTGATATAAAGCTCTTATGGTAGAACCACCCCAAGTGTCTTATCACCTTTTTCTTAAAATCTACTGATTATAGGTAATTTTTAATGCTTACCACAAAGTTTACGTCCATTCAGATTGATAGGTCCTCCTTGATTGGGTCTATAGAAACTAAATTTCTAAGTTCTACTAAAATTTTCGACCTGAAGAAATTTTGATACAGCCAGAACACATCGAATCTTTTAGGAATTATCAATTCCAACTGATAAACGTCCATTTATATTAGCCACAGCACTTCATCAAGGTTACACCGTAGAACGTCTTTGGGAGTTAACAAAAATTGATCGATGGTTTCTACATAAATTTTCTCATATAATTCAATTTATAATTGAACGTATGGAGAAATCATCCGCATCTATATTAGAGAATCGTGATTTTTTATTAGATGCAAAACGCTTAGGTTTTTCTGATAAACAGATTGGATACTATTGTAACGATACAGAGGTTGATGTACGTTCTTCAAGAGAAAAATATAATATTCATCAATATGTAAAACGTATGTGAAAATAAAACAATTTTAACCTATTGAAAAAAGAATAATTTATATTCAATTTCCTTTTTTTAGAAATCGATACGGTAGCCGGTGAATTTCCAGCACAAACTAATTACTTATATTTGACATATCATGGTAGCGAAAATGATGTACAACCAAGTAGTTTAAATCAGAATAAACCAACCATTGTTCTTGGTTCTGGTGTCTATCGAATTGGTTAGTTCAGATTATTTCAAATTTTTTTTTTAATATTAAAAAATATATAAAATATTAGGTAGTTCTGTTGAATTTGACTGGTGTGCTGTTGGCTGCTTGAATGAATTAAGAAATCTTGGACATTATACCATTATGATTAATTGTAATCCGGAAACAGTTAGTACAGATTATGATGTTAGTGATCGTTTGTATTTTGAAGAAATATCATTTGAATGTGTTATGGATATTTATAATTTTGAAAAACCTTACGGTGTCATCCTATCATTTGGTGGACAACTTCCAAATAATATTGCCATGGATTTACATCGACAACAAACAGTTCATATATTAGGTAGATTTTAGTTTATGAACAAATATTGAATATATAAAATAGAATTTTTTATTTTACTTTTTTTTTTAAAGGTACACATCCAGAAAATATTGATAAAGCTGAAAATCGTTATAAATTTTCACGTGGTCTTGAAAAAATTGATATTTTACAACCTCAATGGAGACAACTATCAGATATTGATAATGCAAGTAATTTTTGTGATGGTGTTCAATATCCATGTTTAGTTCGTCCATCGTATGTTTTGTCTGGTGCAGCTATGAAAATGTACGTATGTATTTTTTAAAAAATTTTATTTTATTTCTAATATTTTCGTTTTAATAGTGTTTATAATAAAAATGATTTAAAATCCTATTTGAATGAACATGAATTATCTCGTGAATATCCTGTTGTCATATCAAAATTTATACTTGATGCTAAGGAAATTGATATTGATGCTGTGGCAAAAAATGGAGAAGTTGTTCGAATGGTACGTAATATAGACGTTTCTTTTTTTATTCATTTTTTTCTTAAACTAAATTAATAATTTTTTTGTTCTTTTTTGTAGGCTATATCAGAACAGTGAGTAATTTTATTGTTATATTATTTAAAGAAAATTCGAAAATAATATTTGTCTCTTTCAGTGTGGAAAATGCCGGTGTTCATAGTGGAGATGCGACACTTGTAACACCACCTCAAGATTTAAATACAGATACAATAAACAAGATAAAGACAATTTGTTTTGCTATTGCAGAAGAGTTGAAAGTTTCAGGTCCATTCAATATTCAATTGATAGCTAAAGTAAATATATCTCTTAATTTTATTTGTATTTTAATGTGAAATATTTATTTTTAGGATAATGAATTAAAAGTTATTGAATGCAATGTACGAGTATCAAGATCATTTCCCTTTGTATGCAAAACATTTGATCATAATTTTATTGCCGTAGCAACACAAATATTAGTCGGTGTAGAACCAGCCAGAATTGATAATGTATTATTTCTTCAATCTGAACGTGTTGGTGTCAAAGTACCACAATTTTCATTTTCACGTCTATCAGGTAAAATACTGAAGCAATTGAGAGAGATCAATTCTCAGAAAGTCGATTTTTTGATAAAAAATCAAAATCGAACTTGACATGGATTGATAGTGTCTGAAGCGTCCTCTTTTAGAAACTCTATAGCTCTTTATGAAAAAATGAGGTTTTGAGAAAGTTTCATCCAAGAGAGTTATATGAACTTCAAACTTGTTTTATGTTTTTCTTCCGTAATAAAGTACATTTTTCTTAGAAATAATTCAGCATAAATTTGATGAATGTTTTTTTATTTGATAGTTAAAACATAAATGCACAAAGTGACAAACCATTGTTTTGAATTTTACGTCTCTTATTGAGAAAAATGCATTATACTAATGAGAGAAGAGATACTTTTTTGAATTTTTAACTTAAAATGTATGTCAAAAAATTAATAGAGACGAAAGTCAACAAAACCATCCATTACTTTTTTGATTTAGGTGTCTAGTTTCATTTAAAATAAATCCAAATTTCGTAGCAGCTATCTATTCTAAGAACAATCCATCTCATAAACAACCCCATTTTTGCCCTTGCAATATTGATAACTCGTGAATAACACAATATTTTTAGGCCGACATTTTTATCATAATCGTTTAAAAATTCATCATTTTTTTAAGATAAAAGTGTAAACGCGATAAAATTCTTTTTTTATTTTAGGTGCTGATGTTTTACTTGGCGTCGAAATGGTATGTGGACAAAAAAAAATAATTTTTAGATTAACATATGTATATAATTTTGCATTTAGATGAGCACTGGTGAAGTAGCAGGTTTTGGTGTTGATCGTTATTCTGCTTATATGAAAGCGTTATTAAGCAGTGGTTACTGTTTACCAAAGAAAAATGTTTTATTATCGATTGGATCTTATAAAGCAAAAAAAGAATTATTAAATGCCGTTAAAACATTAAAAGATTTAGGTTATGAATTGTATGCGAGTTATGGTACAGCAGATTATTATGAAACAAATAATATTAATGTTCATCCAATTGATTGGCAATATGAACAGAATGAAGATTCATCCACAAATGGTAATAGACAAAAAGAATCAACAATTATAGATCCAAATCAACAACTATCGATTGCTGATTATTTATCTAATGGAGGATTCGATCTTGTACGTACAGTAAAAATTATAGATAAAAAATATTTTAATTGGAGATTAGTTTTTTTTCTTCTAAGGTTATAAATATTCCTATGCGTTCAGCTGGCATGTTTCGAGCGTCATCATCAATTCTATGCACACAAGGTTACCGTTGTCGTCGATTGGCTGCAGATTTTAGTGTACCATTGATTACTGATGTTAAATGTGTTAAATTGTTTGTTGAAGCATTACGTCGATGTAATTGTAAATTAATAAACATTAATATGTCTGTTGATTGTTTATCATCGACAACCCTAGTACGTTTACCAGGATTAATTGACTGTCATATTCATTTACGAGAGCCGGGTGATGAACATAAAGAAGATATTACTAGTGGAACAGCATCTGCATTAGCTGGTGGAATTACGATGATTTGTGCGATGCCAAATACAAAACCGCCATTAACAAATGAACGCTCATTAAATCTGACTGAACGATTGTATCAGAAGAAAGCACTATGCGATTATGGTCTGTATATGGGAGCTACTGCTGATAATGCGCTAGAAGCAAGTAGTTTGGCTTCACGATGTGTTGGTTTAAAAATGTATTTGAATGTCACATATGGCGATCTTAAATTGGATAAAATGGAATCATGGATGAAACGTAAGAATAAAAACTTCATGAATAATAATTCAAATTTGTTTTATTTTAGATTTTGAAAATTGGCCGCATGATATTCCAATTGTGGCTCACGCTGAAGGTCAAACAACAGCGAGTATTATATGTTTAGCAGAATTATTTAATCGTAGTGTACATATTTGTCATGTGGCTAGACGCGATGAAATTCTTTTGATACGTGCAGCCAAATTAAAAGGTGTTCGAGTAACTTGTGAAGTAACACCACATCATTTATTTTTACATCAGAATAATACACAATATATTCTTGATTATTATGGAAATTCAAATGGATTTCGAGAAGTAAAACCGAATCTACAAACTGAATCGGATTGTCAAGCTCTCTGGGAAAATTTAGATATTATTGATTGTATAGCTACAGATCATGCACCACATACAAAAACTGAAAAGTCATTGAGTGACACAGCGCCACCAGGTTTTCCAGGTATTCAGACATCATTACCGTTAATGTTAACAGCTGTCAATAATGGAAAATTAACAATGCAACAATTAGTCGATAAAATGTACACAAATCCAAAACGTATATTTAATTTACCTGATCAAGACGATACGTATGTTGAGGTTGATATGAATCATAAATGGACAATTATGGATGATGAAACGCTGTTATCAAAAGCACAGTGGACACCTTTTATTGGAATGCCAGTGAGTGAAAGCGAATCGAGTGAATAAATCAGTTTTGCATATGATTTCTTGCCTTAGATGCGTGGTGCAGTTCATCGAGTTGTATTACGTGGTGAAGTGGTATATGTTGATGGAAAAGTTTTAGCAGAGAATGGTTTTGGTAAAAATATTGTTGATTTACGAAAAAACTCCAAATTACTGCCATCATTATCTATTGAACAGACAAAATCTCCAAAAAGTACTGGAGATGTTTATTTGGCAAACTCATCACAGAATGAACATTTTATCAATATGATACGACCTAAACACCGAAGTATGTACTTTTTGAACACTTGTCGGATAATAATATCGAATACTTAGTTTTTTTTAAAAATTTTTTTAGATGTTAGTGAGTCGGACACTAACTTACATGGTGATAATAGCGACGTATTTCAACATGTTAAAAAACAAGATAGTTTCAAGATTGGATCGACTATTAGTATGGCTAAACAACATGTGTTAAGTGCATTAGGTTTAACTCGAAATCAAGTATGTTGAACATTCTTTTTTTCTCGTAATTAACATCTGTTAATTGTTTGTTTTCTGTCATTTTAGTGTCGTGAAATCTTTAGGCTTGCTCATAATTATCGTAGTTGTCGATTGTCACAGCGTTCCATTGAACCTATTTTGGCTGTGCGTCATCTTTTTTTGTTTTCAACCATATAATCTGTATTATAATGTTATTTTGAAATGTTTAGGGCAAAGTAATAACATTAATGTTTTTTGAACCAAGCACAAGAACGCAATGTTCATTTGCTGCCGCTATGCAACGATTAGGTGGCACAGTAATAAATTTTGATAGTCAAACATCATCAATTCAAAAAGGAGAATCAATAGAGGGTTAGATTTGTTGCTATTTGTTGTAGTTGATAGCCGTTATTCATATCTTTCAGATTCTGTACGAATACTCGCCGGATATACCGATGCTATAGTCATTAGACATTCGGAAGTAGGTGCTGTACAACGTGCCGCTTCTGTTTCACGTATACCCATAATAAACGCAGGCGACGGTATCGGAGAACGTAAGTAATATGCTTAATACTCGATCATTTTATCAGAGTGAAGTAAATGAATACATTTTTCATTTACCCTTGGTGATAAAATGCTTATCAGCTCTTGACTAAGACAGATAGTTTTTCAATGTTCTAGATCCAACTCAGGCATTACTCGATGTGTTTACTATAAAAGAAGAAATTGGAAAGCTTGATGATATTACTGTATGTATGTTAGACAACAAATTAAAAACATCATAGTTAATTTAGCCTCTCTGTTGTCGTGTAGATAACGATGGTTGGTGATTTGAAACATGGGCGTACTGTTCATTCTTTAGCCAAATTATTGGCGATGTACAGTGATAAAGGTATTACGTTGCGTTATGTTTCTCCACCATCGTTGACGATGCCAGAAGAAATTATGAGCTATCTGAAGAAAGCTGGCATTTCACAAGTAAGCCAATTGGAGTTTTAATACAATTTAAAAATTGAAAATATATATTTTGTTGAACATATAGAAAGAATATACGCTGCTAGAAGAAGCACTGCCAAATACCGATGTACTCTACATGACACGAATTCAAAAAGAACGTTTTTCTAGCGAAGAAGAGTATAAAAAGGTAAAATTGTTCTTGAAAGAAAATATATATGATACTTTATTCAATTTGTTTGTTCAATTTTTTTATGTAGTCATCCGGATTATATATTGTAAATCCGCACTTAATGAGAAAAGCAAAAAAACATGGTAAAATGATTGTTATGCATCCATTGCCAAGATTAGATGAAATAAGGTTAGTCAAGGTTTCAATTATTGTTTGTTTTTGTTCATTTACATCTAAATTTATTTATTTCGAAGATCAGTTTATCTAAGAATGATATATATTCTATTTTAGTACGACATTCGACAATGATCCTCGTGCTGCCTATTTTCGCCAAGCGGAAAATGGCGTTTATGTTAGAATGGCGTTGCTCACGGCACTTTTGGCCCCATCAGTGATGCGTTAATGTGAAATATCCTATTTGCTGCTATAACTTAATAGTAAACCATTTTTGTGTTATTTGTTTTTGTTGTATGAATCTGTGATTTAAACATATGTCTTTTTGGTTTTGTTTACCGGTACTTGTTAATTGTTTTTTGGTGCTTTAGAAGCAACATAAATACATTCTTTCTGTTGCTTGTTTTCTGTTATCCTAACTTTATAACATCCATGTCGAATAAAGTTATAATTGGTCAGAAGTTATTCTCGTTCTATTTCTATCATGATTCTTTTTGTTATCGATATTTTGATATTTTTTTGTTTATGAAACACTTCTCGATTCAGAAAATATTTTTCATAAATTATACTGCATTTGAATAGCACTGATACTATAGTGAACACGTTTTATTAGAGAGTAGTAAACTCACTCAGGATGTAGTATTGATATTTGAGACATGATAATATACTTGTGTCCTTGAATCATGTATTAAAAATACCATTCTGTCTTATCTATATGTCGTACTAGAGCAAGCAATAAATGAACTTGTACTAAAATTGAAATCATATATCGTAAAGTTTATAATCAATCTTCATCTATGACAGAATATTCTCTATATTTTTTCAGATAATGTCGGCTACTGCTGCTGCTACTGCTGTTAAAACTCTTCGTTTTGCACCAGCTGTTAAAGAATTACGTCTACATTTATGTCAGACATCGTCAACAAGTAAAGGTGTACGAGATTTTATTGAAAAATTTTATGTTAATATCAAAAAACAAAATCCTCATACACCATTACTTATACGTGAATGTAGTGGAATATCGCCATGTTTATGGACACGTTATGATTTTGGTGTTGAAAAACAAATACAATTAGCAGGAATGAATGCTGAACAAGTACTGAATGCTATTGAAAAATTAGCAACAAAAACAAAATAAACAGTGAACTAAAATATTTTTCATCTTCCTAGATTTGTAGTTTGAACTATTCTGAATTTATTCACCATTTCTCCTGTATTTATTACACTGTTGTATTTTTCTCGACGAATAAAGATTATTCTTTTCAAAATAGACTCTGTGAAACTGTAGCAAGTATGTTAGTATATTCTAGATGTACACAACTGTTGTTCATCGTGAATTAAAGTTTTTAATACAATCAGTTTGATAAAGAGTTAACTGATATTCCGTTCTATGAACTATATTACTATTTATTGATTACAATTATAGCTAATTACTTAGACATTATCTTCCACCTTCTATAATTTTAGATCTGCGATTTCCATCTGTTTTAGGCTAATTTCAACAATGGACGACATTAAAAAAGATAAACGTTTTTCTCATATTGGTAAAGATCCACGTTTTCGTCCTGCGGGACGATTTGAACGTAAAACTAAAATTGATCAACGTTTTAAATCAATGTTTGATGATCCAAAATTTAAGTTAAAATACACCGTTGATAAACGTGGTCGACCATTAATCAATGAAAATACAACAAGTGAAAATATGAAAAAGTTTTATCAATTAGAACAAGAGGACAAGTCATCAGCATCATCGTCAGATAAAAATGAAAACATATCCAGACGAAAAATGGATAACAATGATGATAATGATGATGATGACGATGATGATGATGGTGATGATGAAAATGTCACAAAATATGTAGAGCAGCTTAGTGAACAAGACAGTTCCGATTCGTCAGATGAAGAAGATCAAACAGAAAAAGATGAAGAAACAGATACGTGGAATGAGTTTGATGATAATTGTGCACGATCAGATGATGTAACAAATCGTCTCGCCATATGCAACATGGATTGGGATCGTGTTCGAGCAGTGGACTTATTTTTTTTATTAAATTCATTTAAACAAGATAACGGTGTAATTAAATCGGTAACAATTTATCCATCTGATCTTGGATTGAAACAAATTGAAGAAGAAACAAGATTGGGTCCATTATCACAACCACCAACGACAAATGCCAGTGTCCCTAATGAGTATGTCATATTCATTGACTGACTGTCAGTTTATATCCACTACGATTATTTTTAGAACACATTCAAATGAACAAGATAGCGGTCATGCCAGTGAAGAAGAGGAGGGAGAAGAAGAAGAAGGGGAAGAACATGAAGACAATGGAAATGAGGAAGATGATGCTGTTGATCCGATTATTCGAGAAAAATTACGAAAATATCAATTAAATCGTTTAAAATATTATTATGCCGTTGTTGAATGCGACACCGTTAACACAGCATCAAAATTGTATGAAGAATGTGACGGTTTAGAATATGAAACAAGTGCCGTAAGTTTAGAAAATTTATTTCAATATTATATATTTTACAAATTTTATTTTCGTTTAGGTTCGTCTTGATTTACGTTTTATACCCAATGATGTTCGTTTTGATGATATGCAACCGTATGATCAGTGTACATCTTTGCCTGATAGTACAAGTTATAAACCAAGATTATTTCGAAATTCAGCATTAACACAAACAAAAGTTCATTGTACATGGGATGAAACACCACTTGATCGTCGAACCATAATGAGAAAAAAATATACAATGGAAGAAATTGAAAATATGGAATTAGACGCTTATTTAGCATCCGATAGTGAAAATGAAGAGGGAAAAGAAGATGAAGAAGAAGACAATGGTGATGATAGTGATGCTGAAACTCAAAATAATAATTTTAAAATACCAGCAATTCCATTGGAAACAAAAATTCAATCGGGTGTTCGTGCGCCGAGTATACTAAGTAGTCAAGATGATATTGAACGCTATCGCTCGTTATTGTTAGATTTTAATGATGATACAACAGCGACAACAATTAAAAAGAAGAAAAAGACACTCACATTTGATAACAATCTAGAAGATGATAATGATAGCACCGATGGAAGTGATATTGACATGGAAATAACGTGGCAGCCAGGTTTAAAAGAGAAGAGTAATACTGTAAAACATCAAGATAAATTGAAACCTTCCATTAACAAATCATTATTATCATCATCGAATGAAATGAATGATAAAGAACATGACGCTCTTGAATTATTGACAATTGACGATGATAAACGTGATTATAATTTACGTGATATGATCAAAACGTATAAACAATCCACAAAAAATAATAAGAAAAATAAAAAACCACAACATGAAGATGATGATTTTAAATTAAATGTTAATGATCAACGTTTTCAAGCTATATTTGACTCATACGAATATAATATTGATCCATCTGATCCACAATTTAAATCAACATTTGGTACACAACAATTTATTGATGAAAAAGGTAAAAAACGAAAATTAGTGCCAACAACTACAATTAATGACGGCGATACTCCAGTGAAAAAAACAAAAATCATAGACTCATCATCTATCACAGAAAATGAAAGTGATAACAACGCACTTGTCAGAAAAATAAAGGCAAAAAGTAAATTGTTATTTGATAAAAATGTAAAAGTGAAAAAATAAAAATAAATAAATGGTATTTTCAAAATTCAACATATAAATTTCTTAAGATTTTGTAGTAAAAATCGTATTAATTGTATTAAGAGGCGTATGTTGATCATAGTAGACTGATATAACAAACAAATGCTCACTAACGTGAAAACTAAAAAGATTTTTTCTGATTTATTAATAGCAGTTAGTTCATAATAATCGAATCATATCAAAAATCGAGTATAAATAAAATATTCTAAGTATAAGTGAAATACTAGAATGTATTTAAATATTCTATATTTTTGTTGATGATGAGTATGTTGTCAACATTTATAAAAGTCTAGATGCGTCCATAATATATCTCGTTCTGCATGTCACTCTATTACAACTACTACTTGCCATTCCTTCTCTCGTTTATCTATCTAGTTCTCTTATTATCTACAGAGTTTTGACCTATATTTGTGTCCATCATTACATATATATATATATGTTGTAGGCGAAATTGGAATTTAGGCGGTCTGAATTCCAGGTCTATCTAGGCAAAAGTAGAATTTCAGTTAAAACTAAGGTCAATCCCTAATCAAGCAAGTCTTAAGCTTTGACTTTTGTTTTCCTATTATACTCAAGAATCTATGAATAATATATTGTTAAATACTGCGCATGTTCATTTTGTGTGAGTTACATAAACGAGAGAAGGAATGGCAAGTAGTAGTTGTAATAGAGTGACATGCAGAACGAGATATATTATGGACGCATCTAGACTTTTATAAACGTTGACGACATACTCATTGTCAACAAAAATACCGTTATATTTAAGTGATATTATAAGGTGATAAAACTTGATTACAAATATATTTTGTTAGTGTATATCGATGAAAATTCTCTCATCTCTGACAGATATAAGTCTTAGCTTAATATGTCGGTGATAGATTGCAAGCTCATTTTTTCTTGATACTTTGATAACGTCGATCATCATCTTATATATGTGCTCTTTTTGAGTGATAGTTTCACCTCTGAAAAAGTGTTACCAAAAAATAATTGACAAACACGCATATATTATATACGAAAAAGAAAAATGCAGCATGTAGACAATCAATCAATCAATCAGTTTATTTTAACACGAATGTGTCTAGGATGTTACAAAAAAAGAAAAACTTAAATGAATGTAACACCTATGTTAAGATTGACAAGTTTTCATAGAAAAATATCTTACTTTATTGACTGATATGTCATTTTTACTCTATAAAATGTCTGCTCATTAGATCGACAAATTGAAGATATCATCTCGAATGCACATATCTGTAACTCTAATTACATATATTCAAAGACCAGCTTAAAAAGAATCTCATGACATTTACATTCCTATTGATATTATTGTTGCCCGATCCTAGTTCTATTTATGTTATATCAGATAGTATTTAATGCGAAAAGATAGAGGGGTAGTTTATCATTCATTAACGATACGCCTCCAATAATCATTAATTTACATGTGCCTTTCGTTCGATTACGCATCGCTCATTATGAGTGTCAACTTTAACTAGAGAAGCTAAAGTCCTTATAGTTTAACTGTTATTTGCTAGATTTTCTCCTCAAAATGAGTATGTCGTCAAAATGCTATTATATCCATCAATGCCATCAACACAAAGATAGTAAAACATTTTTCAGCGTAGTATTGCGAACTAAAAGATGAAAATTTCAGTTCTGGTTGATCACTCTGGTAACAATATTTTTAATTTAGATGAGGACTGTTCCATAATTAAATAATTTTTCTTAAACGAAGCGTCAATGAGTGCGAGCATCACGGAGTAAGCTGACCTAACATTATATAATTTCTATCCAACGTAAATTTATAATACTTAAAAAATAATAAAGCAGTACCTTTGAACTCTTCTTGCAGACCAAATGGACAATGGTTTTTTGCTGTTCAAGTCTTAATTGGTATAACGGTATTAAAATGAACAAAGATTTATTATCATACTTATCCTATGATAAGAAAGTTTCTTATTTAAGTCAATTTTCCTTGCATCACGTACGAATTAACAACCGAAACGTTTATTACTCCTGATACATCTTCGAAAAGTAATCCTTTAGGGAATTTTTGGCGTTTTCTACTCTGACTGAACTGCGTACACGCGTTTAGCTGATGTTATTTTTCTTTTTTGATGATTTTCTCTTCGTTCTGCACTTTTTGCTGGTTTTCTTGTGCTGTTAGGCAAGGATTGTCCTCTTTCAAATCGACTCAGCATAGATCGTAAGTGACGATAATTCTTTAAAGCTTCATCAACGGTATTGGCTCGTGCATTTTTCAGCTGATATAGCTGAACGTCCATATTACTACCATCTAATGTGGGATAGATATTTGATCGTGAACTTCTGTACATACTTGTTGATGGTTCACCATGATGGACTGTGTTTATAGACGGTTCTTGATGATAAGTGCTTGTCGGTGAGCTGTTCATTGTTAAGGTCTGTACGGTTGTTAGCGCTGTGGTGGTAGCTGATGGATGTTGATTAGACACGAGAGATTGAGACAGATGTGAGACAGATTGCTCACCAAAAGATTGCTGAGTAAGGGTAGATGGCTGATGTACACCTGATCGATGCATGGTAGATGTAGTTGTAATGGAAATATCAGGCTTCTTTGTAGAAACATCATCAATGAACGAAATTGTTCTTGTATCTGTTGGGTATATCGTCTCCACCGATTTCCAATCTGACATAAACTCATTTATCTTTATAAATTGAAATTTGTCACAGTGCCATTTGGATAAATGTGTACCACCTATACATTAATTAAAGCCAAATCATAAAGTTATCAAAACTAATGTCATCAGTCGTTTATATTTAGTACGCCAAAAATGATAGGAGAAAAGGACGTCAGCCAGTTTGAGAAAACAGTATTCTGGAAAGTTGAAGACTTCTTTGTGACTGTGGCATACCCTCAAGGGGGAAAAAGCATACTTCTGTACTTCTGGTACTTCTCCGTACTTCTTGATACTTCTTCGTACTTCTTCGTACTTCTTCGTACTTTTTTGTACTTCTCCGTACTTCCGAAGTACGAAGTACGAAATACGGGATTTCGTATTTCGTACTTCGTACTTCAGAAGTACGGAGAAGTACAAAAAAGTACGAAGAAGTACGAAGAAGTATCAAGAAGTACGGAGAAGTACCAGAAGTACAGAAGTATGCTTTTTCCCCCTTGCATACCCTCCTGTAATGTCAAATCAGCAGAAATCGGTTCGCCAATATCTTTTTCATCTATTTGAAATATATCAATTTGGTTTCTTTCAAATGGATCTTTCTGTAATAATGATCGTGCTAAATCAATAGGTCCAATAATCCCGTGCGTGCCTTTCAAAACAGAGTATAAACAACTATTATAGAGAGTGATGCTAAAGTTGTCATGTGTCACCTTTGACTTCTAGTGTAATGGTATTATTAGTTCCACTGTCATTATTGTCAACTGTGTGGACTACAGCATAATACCTTGACTTTCCTATTGATAATTGTTCGCCGAATGGTACATCGGATGATGATTTTGCAGGTGTAAGAGTAATTTTTGGTTTCTTTTTATCCAATTCAACATTTCGTTTTAGAAATAACGTTACATTGTTATTATGGATAATTACTACCGATTCAACGGTCCACGCATCCTTTCTGTTATCACCACCAATACGCAACGATATTTTTTCAATTTGCCCAACGTCCGGAGCTTTGACATGAAATAAATCTGTTTGACCTCTTTCAAATGGATCTGTGAGATTTGTTTCTGATACATTTAATAATTTTTCACCCGAGTCCATCTGACCGTGAAATTCTATATAAACATCGGTATTAGTTCCTGTACCGCCCAGTAAACTATTGGCTGTTTTAATAATAACATAATATTTTGTACTAGGGTCAACCAATGCATTCGATTGTTGTATTGCTGGCGATGTTGGTCGAACGATGGGGGAAGATGAACCTTGTTGAAGTATCGAATGTTTTGTAACATGGTGATATTTTTCACCGACGGTTGGTAATGAAGACTGATGAACGTGTTCTAGCGATAATTGTCTTGTTCCGATGAGTCCTGATGATTTTATTAGTAGATCAGACACGTGTTCAAGCTTAATGCCAACATACCGTTCTGTCTGTATTTCACGATCAAGGTTAACGCGCCCTCAAAAGCCAATCAAGTCATATAAATAGGAATCTATTAACGTACCTGGTCATATGTAAGCGTACCTGTAGAATAGTGCCCGTTATGAAGAACAATGATCCATTCAACTGGCCATTTACATTTATCTCCTTTATTTTCAGAAAATAATTGAAGTCTCATATTGTGTAATTTACCAATATTTTTATCTGTCCATTGAAAACAATCAAACTGATGTGTTTGTAAAGCATGGACATTATTCAGTGATGGTGAATCCATTCTTAACGATGTTTTAACATCTTCATTGCTTTGCTGATTTAATCCAAATAATGACAACATTGGATAACAACCTTTTGGACATTCAAAGTTTCCACTTTTGATAAATGCATAATAGAGACTTTGATGGGGTTCAACAAGGATTTCAGCTAAATCTGATACGCTTACATTCGACGATGTTAATGAATGTTGAGGAGTTATATCACGATAGACCCGTGTGCCTACACAAAGGAGATTAAAGAAAAGTGTTAACTGTTAGAATAACACTGTTGCTCATGATCTAACACACATTAGAAGTAGAAGCATTTAATGGACGGATCTATATATATAAATAGATTAGACGTAAAAAAACCATTTTAGATCGACTGATTTCTTTTCCTTTTAAAGTTTTTTAAATGAATAAAGAATTAATTTTCGTAAACTGAATATCTTCTATTACCTTTAATGATCATGACGTTATTATATTTCCATTCTTTAAAATTTGCATCAGATTTTGGATGAAATTCCATCGATAGTAATTTTCCAACATCGACACTCGATTGTAAACTGTACAAATCTGTCTGATTGTCTTTAAATGATGTTTTATGTGATTGGGATGATATCAATGGCAATCTTTCTGTATGACCATTTGTTCCTTTGATAATAGTATCAACATGATGCTCGACGTCACCATTAACGTCAAGTGTTTTAACAACAACAATATAAAAGTTATATCCATTATCCATATGGACTACCATTCAATAGAAACCAATGATTTCCCAATTCAAAAAATAAAAACGTCAACACATAATGCACAAAAAAAAATTTGAAAAAAGAATCAAAAACGCTGTAATTTAAACACGAAACATCTAAAGATGAGTAGTGATGCGCGCCAAAGTTTGGTATTTCAATTTTGAATAGAACAATTGTTCACGCGCCACAAAAATATAAAATAGTTAGAATGAGTTACTTTATGACCAGATTAGGAATTATTAAATAGATAGTGTTCTCTATCATTCATCCTGTTTTGCTACGACAATCAATAAACAAATTTTCGCTATTTTCCTGCGATTCACGCCTCAACAAATTATAAAATACAGTTGTATCGATGGGAGACAAGTTATCAAAACACTTCACCCTATTACAGGAAATTATTTTTCCTTCAAACCATGCTGAGAGATCAAATTATAATTACCATTAAGGTAAAATAAGCACACACCTAAAAAAGGTCTGTATGACATTCGTATACCGTAGTTAGATGCGCATTTGTACAATAAAAACACTTGAAAAATTGTCTTACTCATTTTGTGTAAACTTATAAGAAAGAGAAGAAGAAGTACTATTATATTTATACAAAGAAAAACTGCATGGTTCCAATTAAAAATATCAAATTCATTCGAACTAAAAATTAATAAAGTTAACATTATAAAAATAAAGTGGTGTCGTAAGAGTTAGCATATCGATAAAACTAATTTACTATATAAAAATACATTCAATGGACAATACGGTGGTTCATATAGACGATGTAAACCAAAAAACGATTGTTCATGAACACGAATTAAGTGATCAACAACAATCAAAACTTATTCGAAAATTAGTGTGGAAAATTGATATACATCTGATACCATTTCTTGCTTTGCTATATCTTTGTTCATTTTTGGATCGAATTAATATAGGTATGTATGATATTTCATCATACTTCATTCATAATAATCAAAATTATTTAAATATTTTTCATACACAACTTGTAAAAGAACTATAAAATAGATCCTTGTTCTTTTTGTTTAGGTAATGCAAAACTGGCTGGTATCGAAAATGATCTTCATTTAACACCATCTCAATACAATGTTGTTTTATCAATTTTCTTTGTCGGTTATGTAAGTTTAAGTGGTAACCTATAAATTTCAAACGTTAAAATTAATTATGTTTAAACGCTAGGTTCTCTTTGAAGTACCGTCGAACTTGCTATTAAAATTACTTGGAACATCTATCTGGTTACCGATCATCATGATTATATGGGGTATTATTATGATGTCGATGGCCGCAGTCAAGAATTACCCAGGATTATTAGCATGCAGATTATTTTTGGGTGTTGCAGAAGCTGGTCTCTTCCCCGGAGTGGTATTTTATCTATCATTGTGGTATACTCGGCGAGAACAAACATTGAGACTTGGACTATTTTTTTCTGCTGCTGTTTTAGCAGGCTCATTTGGCGGAGTTTTAGTAAGTGTTGCCTATTAATAAATATTGATAGATGTGTACTTTTTGTTTGAACTTAGGCTTTTGGTATCACGAAATTGCATAATAGAGAAAACTTGAAAGGATGGCAATGGATATTTATTTTGGAAGGTATTCCTGCAATTCTCCTTGGAATCATCTCATATTTTTATTTGCCATATTCAATTGAGACGGTTAAATGTAAGAAAATTAAACGTTGTCACGTCTTTTACCCTTTCTTACTGCTTGTTATAGGGCTCAGTGATTCTGAACGTCAAGCACTAAATAAACATTTAAAACAGGGCACAAATACGACTGCGATTCAAAAACATTTTTCGTGGTCTGAAGTAAAAGAGGCATTTATCGACAAAAATGTTTACATATTTATGTTTGCTTATATTGGAAATGTGACACCGTTTTATAGTTTAAGTTTATTTTTTCCAAGTATTATCCACGGTATGAAATTTTCTAATCTTACTGCTCAAGCAATGTCAGCTCCACCGTACGCGGTGGCATGTGTATTAACAATATGTATAGCTGCACATTCCGGATATCGAAATGAACGTTGTTTTCACATAATGGGTTGTAGTCTCCTTGGAATAATTGGTTACATCTTACTACTTACATTCCCAAAATATGGTCAACAAGCAATGTATGCAGCCTCCATAATTGCATGCGCTGGAACATTTTCTAGTATTCCGCCGCTATTGGCTTGGTTCACAAGTAACATTGGAGGATCTACGAAGAAAGCAGTTGCCGTTGCGATGATTGTAGGATTTGGAAATCTTGGTGGTGTTTTTGCCGGACAAGTATGTCAAATTACTAATACCAGCTTCCATGACATACGTATTTCTACTGCGATAGACAATTGTTCTAATACTTTTTTTGATTATAGTGCTTTTCTAATTTAGATATATAGAGCCACTGATGCGCCCAACTATCCTATTGGCCACGCAACATCACTTGCATTTCTTTGTATTACTTTTGTCTGTGCCATTATTCTGAAATGGGTATTTGTCCGTGAAAATAGACGACGAAGTCAACTAACTGCAAAAGAATATGAAATCGAATGTGCGGAGAAAATAGCAGATTTAGTATGTAAAATAATTACTATCCTTATATAATAGTGAACGGTATTTGTTTTTCTTTATGTTTTAGCATCCAGATTTTAGATATGTTACATAATATGACAAAAGAAAATTGTAATAATTTATTAAAATAAAGTTTTATCATTTATTATTAATAAATGAAAGTTATTTTAAAAAACAAGCTTTTTAATGTGATTGGTCTATTCTTCTAATAAAAATATTGTGTTTTTTTACACCTCTAAGAATGTTGATCACAATAAAAGATGTAATCACAAGCTGTAGCTTCAGTCAATCACTTTAAACAACTAACGCTTTGTATTTATTTCCTTAGTTTTCTAATAACAATTCACAAAGGGAAAAATAACATCTTACATAAAATAGCCGAAAGAGCTGTACAAACGCTGGAAAAAGAATGTCTAACGTGTCAGTTCTTAGTTCTATATGAAACCTATTATTGTATGTGATATTGATTGTTCAAATTTTCCGTTTCAATTGCAATAATAACAAATTTTTCTTTGTTTCCTCTACAAAACTGATGATTATTGATTAGATACAACATTTTGTAATTATCATGTCTTTAGATCTCTCTGCTATTAGTCGATAATGTGATTTTTCACTTTGTTTATCGAGAAAAGTGAGACAATTTAATATTGATCCTATTGCTTTCAATGGATACTTATTATCGGAGTTTATAATGCATAGGTAAACTTAAATACTCAAAATAAACAGTATTTAGGTAAAACTGGCTGTTCGCTGATCGAGTTAATTTTGGAGTTAAATGCTTACGTCTAATCTTCTAAGTTTCATTCTTATGCTTTAACCAGCTTTGAACCATTAAATGCATGCCATGGAACGATGCCATGGATTCTAGAGATGATTCTACATATCAGACATGTAGAATTAACTCTAAATCCACTATAATCACATCAAATAGTTCTCAGATAACTCTCGTTTTCCCGTTCCTGATTTTATCGATGCAAATATATGTAATTGGTAATATCTAGTGCAACGAATGTATTTTCAAATTCAGAGCTATTTTACAACCTCATATTTTCAATATAAATTGAATTTAAACTGACTACCAATGACGATGATGATGCTAAATTAGATTAAAAGGTCTGCTAACTTCTCAAGTAGCCTGTGGTACGTGATTATGATATTCTAACAGTCCTTTGTTCATTCTGTTAGAACAGTTAATTATTTTTATTATCTGCTTTTTTGTTTCAATGGACAATGTGAATAGTGATGGTACAACCATAACACACGAATCTTTCCTAATACTCTTAGGCCTTAAAGTCAGTCTTAATCTGAGATGGCGCGAACATATTGAAGATTTTGTACTAAATTGTAGAAAACGACTAGGCGCTATATACAGACAATTTAAAGATGCACCCTCTTCAATTCGTCTACAAATTTATAAAACCTACATATTAGCTAAATTAGATTACGCCTGTGTTTTGTATGACAATAACTTTGTTAATTTGGAAAGTTAACTTGAATCAGTTCAAAAATTAGCGGCTCACATGATCACACGTGATTTTCATACATCAGGAAAAGCCCTTGTTGAAAAATTAAAATTACCTTTACTCTCCGTGCGACGAAAGTACTTCCGACTAGTGTATTTTTTAAAGTTCGTTCTTAACGGCTTATCACCCTTATCTCGCTTCAATTTTATACAGTTTGATGTGAGTAGAAGATCCGATCGTCTATTACAGTATAACAGACAAGTTTTTATCCCATTTGTGTGTACTGAAACTGTTCTACAATCTTTTTTGTATAGGACAGCTCGCGATTGGAACTCTCTCTCCAACACTGTAGTTATCTCGCCAACGATAAAATCCTTCAAAACCAAACTGAAGCAGCACCTACAACTGTAAAAGAGGAACAAAATAGGATAAAAAGGTATCAATTTTTATAGGTGTTTAAAACCTTTTTTGCTTTCACGACAACATGTTTATGTGTAGGTTAAATTTTTGTATTGTAAAACTAAAGTTTTCTGTACAAAACTGCTGTTGTCGAAATAAAAATCAATTAAATCAAAAAAAAACTTCGAACACATATGTTTAAATGACAGGTATTGAGCTTTCAATTTAAGTTAATTTTAAGTGATAATAATGTTTCTGAGCATATCTAAAAGTCAATTGACAGATGAAATTATTGGTTACACTTGTGCTGAGTTGTAATGAGAACTCCGCAAGTAGTTGCGATTATTCCACAAAAACGCATTGAATACTAGTACAAGATATTTTCCAGTTTATTTATAAAAATTATAGTACACTTTTATTTTCTACTTTTTCTCAAAACCTAGAGCAAATCGAAAAAAAAATATTTAAATAGTTAAAAGAATTTTCTGTCAAAAAAGGTATGTAAAAATGTTTGATGAAAACTACTAGAAATTGGACCTGTGAAGAGCCAAGTAGTTAGATTTAATCTGAAACTTTTTGCAAATCTTTTTGAACAAAACGAGGCCTCTCTGACTTCTTCTTCGCATTAAACTGCGCTCATTTTATGAAAAGTCTCAGATCATCACATAATTTATATCTCGATAAGACCCTCACGTCAAAGTAAATTTTTCATTATTATAGGCAGATTGTTTTCATGGTCGGATTATTTGTTTTACATCAGTTATATTCACCTATAAACAGACATAAAATAGTAGGAGAAACACTTGAGCTCAACAGAAAAAAAGTAGGTGCATCTTACTGCTATATTTTCTACTAAACATTTACTTTATTCTTTCATACACAGGCACATACACAAAATTGGTATTTGATGAAAAACAAAATTCTGTTCAAATAACAAAAGAAAAAAAACCAATGCACAGATTTTGACGCATATAAAACGAGATTCATTAAATATTGTATTTATCTATTCGAGTAAATAACAAGTAAATTAGCAACAGAAACATAAGAGTAGCTGTAACAAAAAAAAACTGTTCAACTAAGCCGTAGTAATATCCTGATAGTTAAAAGCACAAACAAGATCAACAAATAGAAAATATATAACAATCATAGCAGAATTTAAATAAAAAGAAAAATTTGTTTCTGTAACCTTGCTTGAACAATAGAGTTATTTAAATAAAAAGTAATACACCTTAAAAACAAATAGAAAAATAGATAGTTATTCCAATGAGAAGAAAAAAAAATATTTAAATATCCTTCCTAAACATGAAAAGAAAGAAAAGGTCAAAAATCAGCAGCCTTACAAAAACTTCCAGACATTTTACTATATATTTTTCACAGTGTGGCTTTTCTTTCTAATGTGAGGATACCTATTTTGAAAATAAACGACAATTTTTGTTTGTTTACTCTGAGAACGGTGTTCGTTAAGTAAGAAATAGCCTATGCCCGTTTGCATTTCTACTAACCAAAAACTGAAGTGAAATCTTTTTTATTTGTTTAAATCATCCAATATTCAATTGCTAATCAACCGAGTACCAAGTAAAATAACTTTAAACTTTTCAACATTTTTGTTGTTAAAATAAAAAATATATCACTGAGATATGAGTTGATTGATTCAATGTACTGTTAGTCAAAACTACTGTGCATAGTGTATATAATTTTATAAAAATAAATAACCGTAAAAGTAGGAGACAAGAAAGACACCGGGATTATGAAGTCTCCTTTCCTATTCTTGGCAGCAATCACAGAAATAGAACATATACAAACATTTCTCGCAAAGTAGGGATTGTATTAGGGTAACAATGACGCATTTTCATCATATTGTTTCTTTTCAGAACTAACACTAGAAGACATATTGGAATTTTCTTCATCATCTTCGTCTTCTTCCCACATATTATCGGTACTATTAATTGCTGATGGTTGTGGTTGTGTTTCATGAGTCAACGATGTAGGTGTTGCTTGTCTTATAGAAATTTGTGGTTGAGACAGCGATTTGGAACGAGTTGGATTTGAATGTTGTTGTTGGGAATAAGACTGAAATTGTGCCTGTCTTGGATGATCGATTCGTTGATTTGAAATTAATCTGTCATCATTAGATAAATGTGGAAATTGTTGATAATAATGATTATTATTTTGATGTTGATTATTATTCTTAGCATAAAATGATGACATTGATGCGGAGGATGTCTCAATTACATCTGCTAATGTATGTTGCCCATGTTGAGTTTTCATGTGATGTTTGAGGCTATCTTTACGTGAATAACGTTTTCCACAATATTTGCATTCAACTTTCCATAACTCTTGTGACGAATGTGTGATATAATGACGATTTAATCCACTTCTATTCGCATACGAATTTAAACATAATGGACAGCGATATTGTCGTTTTCCATCTGCTCTTAAAACTTCAACAACTGCTAAAATGTAAGAAAGAAAAATGACGAGAAGAAAATTAGAATATTCATCTATAGATGGCAAAACTATTATAATATCAATCACTATGAATAGTGTGGATCAAACTTATAAGTGGAAAGCTGCTCGAATAAAGACGTTGATACTATCAGATGTCAGACTTAAAAAGGGTTTAGACTAAGCAGATTACAGACAAATTATGCATCTTTGACACAAGATCTTTTTTCAGACTATAAGAAAACTACACTTACAATCAGTGAGTTTTGGTAGGCCAAAACGTGTGATTCTAGCAGCCGCTGATTGATCGTTAAAATCATCTATTGAAAAAACGCAATAAACCACAATATGGATATTTTAATATTTGGAAATACTTAAGTGATACTTACCAACTGATGGACTTTTTCCATTTATTTCATCATTTTGATAAAGATTATTCAATTGATTTCTTTCACCTTCGCCCATAGTTCCCATGCTATTGTTTCGAACTTGTCCAACATTATTTTTCGCTGTTATTTGTTCATCTTCGTCGTTCATATCAAAGGCTTCATCAATATCATCATCATTATTTATCATCAGTTCACCTGAATCTGTATCAGGTGGAATCAATTGTTCGAGACCTTTCAATTCTTCTAAATGTTCATCAGTTTCATTGTAGTCATGTTGTTTTTGATGAATAGAATTTTGTTGTGTTGAAACTATGATATCCTTTTGTTCTTCTTGTATGGTCAATGTTGTTCCATCTTCAACCGACGCAACATCATTATCAAGAAAATCGTTTACTTGTTCTCGATCAATTAATGTTTTATTTTTTTCAATTACACTATTTGTTGTTTGTTCATTAATGGCAAATGCATTTAACAATGTTCGTTCAGCTAATTTTCTACTTTCAGAACAACCATGTGATTTTAATTGACCATTATCATAAGTTGGAATGAAAAATTCAAAACACTTTTTACAATAATAATAGCCTTTTTGATGCATTGATTCATGATTTAAAAATTGTTCACGTGAATATAAGCGAATGGAACAATATGAGCAAATAAAAAAACTTGATAATTGCTGAGAACGATGTTTACGATGATGAAATACTGAATGTGAATTATTTGAATAGATTTGTTTTTGAATTTGTACATTTGATGATAGCAATTGGTGATTACTACAAGGACGAAGTCGATGACGAGCTAATGAACTTCGTCGACGAAACAATACGCCACAACGTAAGCATCGATGACGAAAAGATGAAACGGAATGATGATCTAAATGTGAAATAGATGTGACTATAAAATAAAGATGTATCATACCTAATTTATACTTGGTTTATGATATACTAGGGGTGGTCTATTTATTTTTGATTCTACGGAATTTTGTCTTTGTTTGGAATGTATAATTGGAACATCTCGAGCAATTTTTGATGTATTCTTCTGTAATTTATCCTCACTTTGTTTTTGATATTTACGTTTAATTTCATTTGGTGAAAGTTCATTCGCCGAATCTGATTCTCTACTTCCTACACTTGTTGCTGATCGATTTGGTGGAGAATTGGATGTTAAATCTTTATTTGTTGTATCTACCTGTTGTTGTGACTGTTGTATTGTTGCTAAATCTTTTCTCACAGGTTTACTTAATTTTCGACGACTCGCTCTTCCACCATTATTTGGACTACATGGTTCATTTGTTATATTTTGTTCATTTATCCCTCCCAAATTACCATCATCATCATCGCTTACTATATTGTTATCAATATCATTACAATCTTGTTCACTACTGTTATAATACGGTGACGATAATGGATTATTATTATTATTATTATCATTTAAAAAATCTGTCATTGAAAAACGAAGGGAATAACGATGTCCACAACGACATATGAAAAGTTGAGAAGTATTAATTACACCGCTATGATTAGACACCTTGCTCATTGAAGAGAGACCAGGTTCTACAAGAAAAAAATTCATTTAGAAACAAATAGTGATGAAACAAAGAGTACCTTTCACGGATGATATATCGGCCAATTTTAATCGACGTTTTATCCACCGAATAAATTCTATCACAGATGTATTATCACTAAATGTTAAATATTGTTCAATTACTTTGATCAATGTTGTTTGATCCATTACACTAGACGTATTTGTCATTTATTTTGTTTATTTGTATGTTATGTTTCTCTGAAATTAAAGCACATTTAATATTTATTTATATATTGAAAATGAAAAACATTCGGGTAAAAAATATACTATTTACTAATTGGGATATGATAAATAAATATTATATTAGTTATTCGTACGTTCGTGCAATATGTAAATAGCTTTTATATATTAACACTAGAACGCCCAAAGCGGTCATTTTGACCGTTACTGTTTTTTTTAACAATTTTATACTTAAAAATGATTCTGAATTCAAAAATGAATTAAAAATTCTGCAAAAAATAATTTTTGTGGGACAAATTAAAAGTTATGACATAATTTATTTTTAAATAAATTGTATACAGTTTGTTTTATTAAGGATAAAAATCACAAAACGGTCAAAATGACCGCTACGGGCGTTCTAGTGTTAAATAAATGGAAAACATGTGATCATGATTCTGTTAGATGTAATTGTGGAGTATATATAGAGGAAAAGTGAACACTTACTCCTGACAGCTGATACAAAGCGGGAAAAAGCACTTTTTTTTAGTTTTAGGATAGCACCTCAGCACCTTTTCGGCACCCAAAACTACCGATTTAGTCTAGCAGTAACGTTCTCGCTTCGTAAAACTCAAGTTGACGGATGGACAAAGAGATTGAATCCGACCACGAACTTTTTTCTATTATTTTGTTTCCATTTGAATCAAAAATAAAGTATTGTTGTCTTCTTACCCATGAGGTTGTTTTTGGTTGATCAGCTGATCGATCCGTCACAGCTCATGGCGAGTTGTGCGATTTCATAGTCCATAATCACGATCTATCTTATCTATCTATTATCTGTCGTATTATCTTAATCGCGATTATGCACTATGAAATCGCAGACGCCAAGAGCTGTGCCTAGCTGATCAACCAAAAAAAAACGTCATGGGTAGTAGTATGTTGTAAATGCAGCAGAACTTCCTTCTCCAAGTTTATTTGTAGACGAAAGAATCCATGCAGTGTGTGATTCGATCCCACTACCGTATGTTTTGCAAGACAATACCTTACGGCACCTCTTAGCATGTTTCACTACCCTAATCGGCACTGGGTGCTACTTTTCCCTCGTGGCTGATACTCTATTTCTCTTATTTTCTTACCCAATCCAAATAATACGAAAATGTTTTTTTATGCCTATACACTTTTTCGTTGCTACGATCACAAGATGTGGAATACAAAAATTCAAATAGAAGTATACAAAGAAGTTCTAGCGTTAAAATACTCATATCTAATACTCTTTGTTAACGTACTGAGAATGAGACTCATATTTTCAGTCCCTGTGCGTTGCAAAACAACTATGAAGATTATGCGTAGATGAGTTGGCCGCTTACTTTTACAATAGACAGCAAGAAAAAGGCGCACAAACGGCCAAAACTATTTATGGTATTGATTGCCAAATTCTTTTATTTCACAACAAAATAGAACGTAAAACTGTAGTTCTTTAAGAGGAATAAGAGGACTATCAAAAACTTCAAGTTTCTTTCTGTCGTTGAACAAGCAGATGGAACAGATAGAAAACAGCAATTAAATCCAGTTAAGCGAAAATGAAAAGTTAATCAAATGCAGTTTTATCACAACTGGAACATGAAAATCCGATATCAATAAGAAAAAAACCGCATTTACGACTTTTCTGTTCTTGTTATTAGTGACATTTATTCGGATTCTATTTATACCAGGGACCCAAA